CTCGCCCGCCCCCCCGCCCCCCCAGACGCAGGCACCGCTCGGCGGGGCGCCGGGCCACACTCACAAGCACTAAGGGTACAGGATGGCGGGCGCCCCCACCCACCCAGACACGCTCACACAGTCGCTCAAGCCCAACAGGAGTGCCCCGGACGCGGCGCTGTCACACACCGCGTTGGCTGTGCGCCAGTGGCCCCTAAGCGCGGGTCCCGCACGTGGTCTCTATACTGGTGGCCGAGCTTGGGGAGGGAGGGCTGCACACCCTGAGAAGCCCCCCCCACACCCTGACGCTCGAGCACCCGCAGCGCCCCTACCTTGGGAGACAGTCTCCCGCTTTCATTTTTGGGCTAGGTGGGGTTCCAGCCCCAGTTGGACTGCCTCCCAACCCTGCAGCACCCAAGCCCTCAACACAGAACAGCATGCTAGGGACACCCTGTAGTTGAGGAAGCGCCCCAGGAAAAAAACTCAGAGAAAGGCACAACTGTGGTGCAGTCTCCATAGAAATTGACTTTTGATGTGCCTTTATGGCTCAAAGTACTTCCCACCAAGAATATTTTTAAAATGGGCCCACGCTGATGTAAATATTTCTGAAGAAATCACATCTCATGGCTGCCAAGACTAAATAATTCCTCTGCAGCCTTTTGGAAAAGGTCTCAGGTGTATAACATGCTCAGGATCTATTCATGGCTGCCTCCTCATGTCTCCTTGTTGCATAAACTGTGATTCCACATAAATAAAATAAAAATTTCAAGACTTTTGTGGAGGTGTCTGGGGTGTAGGGACAATCCTCAAATAGGAATACCAGGAATGCGGGGGTGAGACTTCAATGTGCAATCCTCCACAAGATTTTCACCACAGGATATACTACCCACCCTCTGACAATCCTCAAATAGGAATACCAGGAATGCGGGGGTGAGACTTCAATGTGCAATCCTCCACAAGATTTTCACCACAGGATATACTGTACCCACCCTTTCCGAGTAGTGCAAAAAAAAAAAAATCACATGGGTGAACTTTCTTCTGTTCAGCACAATAAGAAAAAAACAAGAAACAAAAAACGGGTTGGACAGCAGGGTGATCCAGATCCCACAGGTGCCAGCAGCTCAGCAGGTGGTGTGGCACAGAAGAGGGGAAAGGGAACTCTGACTGGAGATTCTTGGGGCCAAAGGGGCCTTGCCTTTCTAGGGAACTGTTTATTCAATACCTACTATATGCCAGGGGCAGAATTAAGGCGGTCTAAGAATTTGGGGGGCAGGAAGAAAAATGCTCTCAGTCTACCAAACTATGACTTGTGTCCTGGAACTTTTAGTAGTTCTGGTTATTGAACATGGGTGAAGCCATCCTCCAGGTGGGTGGCTTCTTCTGATAGGAAAGGCCCTAAAATTTCCAGGAGGAGCCAGAAGGAAACTATTGGTGCATGCAAAAATTTTAACTGAAAAGCCTTTAGGTGAAGTGACAATTTGCAGGAGTGTGGGCAGAATTAGGAAATCAATACAAGGATTAGCAGTAGTGGGAAGATATTACCAGCCCTCAAACTCCAGTAGTACAGGAACGGGGAGGGTCCTGGAAAGGACACCAAAAAGGCCTTATAACTGATGAAGAAGTAGTGACATCAAGGAGACAGCTGTGGGAAGAAAACCCTGATAAGTCTGTCTGTGTCTGTCTCTCCCCTTCCACCCTCCCTCCACTCTTTTGTACAAGTTTCCCATTAGTCAAAGCCAACTGGAAGGCAGAGGGCCAGGAAGCCTGGAACCTCCTCTGGGACAGATTGAGTAGTGAAAGTGGAAGGCAGGTCCCAGGGAGGTGCAAATCAGTGAGGTGCAAACAGCATCACCAGTACCACCAACCACTACTTAATCTTGTCCAAGGCAAGTTACCTTCCTGAAGCTGGCTGCTCCTCAATAAATCACCATTACCTCCTAAAAGGTAGTAGGAAGACTAAATGAGAAAAAAATCTCAGGTTGTTGCAACGCTCGTTTTGCAGAGGCAGCTCTCTAATCCATTTTTATGCTTTACAAAGTTTTTCCCAATGGGTGCGCAGCTAGCCCAGAACTAGCCCATCAGCCTGAGGAGGCCTTTGAGCTGGGCAGATTGAAGCTGCAAAGAGCTACTTATTAATGAGATCTGAGAAGTTTGTCCAGGTTCAACCAAATTCTAACTGTGAGGGTATCCGTGGGCTGGCTGCTGAATGTATATGTTCCATGGACCCAGCAGTGAGAAGACAATTCATAACCCAACAGCTTTACTTTGCCTGAGACAGAGAAAGAATGAAAATGTCTGATGATCCTTTGAGTTCCCCGGGAAGAGAGATCTTAGAGAGAGAAACACCAACAACAGAATAAACTACACCCTGAGATAACTGAAATTTAAGCCAGTTTTGAGAATAAAAAGGACCAAGTCCCACAAAAATCAGGTAAAAGTAAATTACCCATTACTCTCCAGCCCAAGCTAGATAAATGTTTTATACAGGTTTAAGACATTCTAAATCGCCATCATTTCAGAAATGTATAGCATTGGCAAAGTTTGACCAAACAGGAAGGGGGAAAATCTATAACGCTTATCTTCTTTTGCTGTCATTGTAGTACTGAAGCTTTCAAACAAGGGCTATGTTGCGGGGGGCGGGGGGCTAGAAGCAATTCTTGAATTTAAAAAAAATGTGTGTGGATTCTTCTAAAATTAAAATAAAATTGAAAAACACTACTGGAACCCTGAACACCTTTAAGAAACTCAGTGTGGAATCTGGAGAGTTGGCTGCTGCCTTGGCCCCTCCTTGTCTGTGGATGTCTCCGTGGGAGAGTGTTCTCGAGAATATGAGGATTTGTCTCTGGCTGCTTTGTTCTTGCTGTTGTATGTAACCATGGCAGGTGTCTTATATTTGACAGGTGCTCGGTAAATGCAGGCAGAAAAGGGTGGGGGGAAGGGAGAAAGAAAAGAAGGGTAAGAAAAAGTAGATAATATATGACCTGTTCACCACACAGATCTTTTTTTTTGGTACCGGGGGTCGAACTCAGGTCCTTGGCTTGCAAGGCAGGCGGCAGAACCACTGAGCTAAATCCCCAGCCCAGATCTTATATATTTTTGAAAGAAACTTCAGCAAGTGTGAGAAGCCAAGTTTGGCCTTGGGAAATGGGAAATGGTATAGTGAAGTGGACATGACCTGTGAGCCATGCATGGTGGTGTGTGCCTGTAATGCCCACACTGAAGCAAGAAGATTGCAAGCTCAAGCCTGGGCATCTTAGCAAGACCCTGTCTCAAAATAAAAAATAGAAAAAGGGCTGCGGTTGTAGCTTAGTAGGAAGTCCCTTGTTTTAATCCTCACTATTGCATTAAAAAATAAAAGAATGGTGGGCTATGAAAAACCAACTAGGAATGAGCTGACACACGAGAGCAAGACAATAATTTGTAGGCCTCCATCCCTCCAGGGATGCCTGAAGATTTGAAGGGATTACAATATAATGACTAGTTAATGCTTATTTTATTTCTACTGTCTTCTTTCTAAAAAAGCCTCTTAACTTTTAAAGACATTTTGTAACATAACATGAAAGATGAGTTTTGTCTATTGGTCATTAAAATTTAAGACAATAACAATCCCTAGGAGTTTCCATGAAAAAGACACTGTTCCAAAATAATGTGAACATCATAATATTAAGTAGTATTAGGGCTGGGGATTAGGCTCAGTGGTTTTGCCACCTGTCTTGCAAGTGCAAGGACCAGAGTTCAGTCCCAGGTGCCAAGAGAAGAAGAGGAGGAGGAGGAGGAGGAGAAAGAGGAAGAGGAAATAGTTCCCCTACTTTATAGAAGGAAACTGAGGTTAAATCATTCACCCTAGGTACCACAGGGATGGGATCTTGGGAACTCAGCCTTACAGGACATTTATTCATATGTTTTGTTTGTTTATTTTATTTAATTTATTTATTTATTTATTTTGGTATTGGGATCAAACTCAGGACCTTGTGCTTGCGAGGCAGGCAGAGGAACCACTGAGCTAAATCCCCAGCCCTGTTTTTCTGTTTTTGCAATACTGAAGATTGAACCCAGGGGCCCTCTACCCCTAAGCTACAGTCCCATCCCTTTTTATTTTTCATTTTGACACTGGATCTCACTAATTCACCTACACCAATAGGTGAGCCTTCTGCCTCAGCCACCTGATAGCTGAGATTACAATCATGTGCCAACAAGCTCCGTCTTATTCCTACTAATGACCAGGCAAAAGTCTACATTACAGCCATTGAACTGAAAAGGGTGGAAGACAAGGGAGGAGTTAGCTGCCAATCTCTTAGGTCAAAAAGCAAAACTCACATGGACAAGGTTGTCTCAGGCATTTAATTTACAGAATTCATGAAGAGGAAGAGGAAGAGAAAACACACCCTGAAAAGTTTCCTAACCAACAAAAGATAGGAGACTTTTGGTTAAAATTAAATTGTTGATTATCATCATTCCATTTGTTAGGAACACAAATAGTGCTTAGTACCCTTTCTGGTTTATATGGCTCTGTTATACTGTGTGCTAAAGTATAAAATCTAAATGTACTCTGCCTGAAATTCTAAATTTTAAAAGCTAGAGGTTTGTTTCTTCATTTCAGTGAATTATTTTGCTATTACCAATTAGATGTCTTGTGACAGAGAATATAAGAGCTATTTAAAAGAAGCCTGTACAGCGTAGGCTGAGTAATTGCAGTCCTGACTCGGG